ACCAGTTTTGCTGCTGACAACCAAAACCAGCTGCTCACATGGTCAAGGAGGATCATCAGCCTAACAATGGATCATTAGCACACTGATGGCTGTTTACTATTCACAGGGGGTTGAGTGATACTAGCGATAACAGCATTGTAAGAGGGGGACAATTGAACCCGGAGGCCTCCACCCCTGTTTACCGATGGACGATTTCTTTTCACAAAGATGGCCTCCTTTACTCCTCTCTCAAACCATCGTTCCTCTCTGTCCAGGATGTGAACATCTTCATCCCTGAAAGAGTGACCGCTGGCCTGGAGATGAGTGTAGACCGCAGTGTCCTGGCCTGATGATGTTGATCTTCTGTGCTGGTCCATCCTTTTGGCCAGTGGCTGTTTAGTTTCCCCGATGTAAGACTGATCACAGCCCTCCTGACACTGAACAGCAAACACAACATTACTCTGTTTGTGCCGGGGAACTGGATCTTTGGGATGAACCAGTCTTTGCCGTAATGTATTTTGGGGTTTAAAAGCCACTGGGATGTCGTGTTTAGAAAATAAACGTCTCAGTTTCTCTGATACTCCCTCAACATATGGAATGACCACTGGTCTGGGTCTGGGTTCCTCCTTTTCACCTGATGGCTGACTGGAGTCCTGTTTGGGTTTCTTCTCTGCTTTCAGGAAGGCCCAGTTAGGATATCCACATTGCTCTAGAGCCTGTTTTGTGTGGGATTTCTCCTTCTACCTGACTCCTGAGCTAGTGGGGACGCTGTCTGCTCTGTGATACAGAGTCCTGATGACTCCTAACTTGTGCTCCAAAGGGTGATGGGAGTCAAACTGCAAATACTGATCTGTGTGGGTGGGTTTGCGGTACACCTCAGTTTGCAAATGTCCTCTATCAGAGACTGAGACCTCACAGTCCAAGAAAGCCAACTTGCCATTTTTTACATCTTCTCGTGTGAACTTGATGTATTTATCCACAGAGTTGATGTGGTCAGTAAAATGTTGGACTTCCTGAGATTTGATTTTAACCCAGGTGTCGTCAACATACCTGAACCAATGACTTGGTGGTGTCCCTGAAAAGGACGTCAAGGCTCTCTTTTCTACCTCCTCCATGTACAGGTTGGTTACAATAGGAGGAACTGGAGACCATACACCCATGTTTCTGCCTATAATATTGCTCCCCATATGTGAAGTAGGTTGACTGCAGGTACAGTTTCAAGAGTTAGGGTTAGTTAAAACTGCTAGCTAGCTAGCAGATAGCTAGCTAGCTAGCTAGCTAGATAGATAGATAGCTAGCTAGCTAGCTAGCTAGCTAGATAGATAGATAGATAGATAGATAGATAGATAGATAGATAGATAG